TCTTCATTTTCTGACTTTTAGGCTAACCTCTTGTGACCCTTCCCACCCCCAGTGTGTCAGTAGGAATTATGGTGTCTGAATGCACAATAACTGGAGTTCTACCCACATCCTTTGTACAGCAAAGCAACGTGAAAACGTTGCCAACTGCTCATCTAAGTAAATCTTTTTTTGCTGCTTTCATGAAGAATGATTAGTCAGATACTTCTTTAGGCTCCTGCCATAAACTGCTGATGGGAACATAAACTGCTGTAGTCTTTGCAGAAGGCATATTAGCAATATGCACATCCTTGACAGCAATTTCACTTCTAAGACAAGTGGGTAAAGATGTATATACAGGGTAACCATTGTGGTTTATAACCAGAAAAACTGAAGGTAATGTAACTGTCTAAGAATAAGAAATTGACTGAATACTTTACAATATAGCAAACAATGGAGTATCCCAAAAACATTAACAGGGGTTGTTGGGAAGGATTTTTATTGACACAGAAAGGTGCCCTTGATGTATTATTGTTAAGTGAATAAAGCAGGTTAGTCTAACTGTAACAGAGCAAAGGGATCCTGTGCCCGAGACACAAGAAAGCCAAACTCTGACAGCAGGAGCCTGCAGCAAAGTAAGGCTTATTGCAGGGCTCCAAGCAAAGGGGTGGGAGTTATAAGCCTCAGATCCACTTCCCCGGGGTCTTCAAGTTAGGGTTTGGTTTTTTTTTTAAAGGGTAAGAACAGGCTGGGGTTAAACATCTTCTTGTGACATTTCTTAATCATGTTTTCGGGAGTCAGGATGTCTCTGGTTTATGATTCTCCAGCCAGATGGTCCATGACTGGAGGGTCTATGAGATCATCTTGCCCTGAAGAAATAACCTGAGTTTGTACATTACTGATGACACATCTATAACGGCAATTTTAGTACCTAACAGTACAACTGACAACAGTTGTAGTCATCTGACTCTGATTCTGACCACAGAATTGAGGTCAGAGGGGACAAGAAAGGAGATAAAGCTTTAGCTAAAGAGATGAATCGTAAACTTCGTAAGGGAACTCGGTTTTAGGGGGACTTGGTTTCATAATCTGAGTTAAGAGGATGACCTGATTATTTTTCTTTCTGGTTTAGGTATTTCTATACCTATGTTTTCCTTTTCACAAGAATATGTTTGGGTTTCTTTGATTCTTTTTATTTAAATGGTTTATTGGATTTTTCTTTCAAACAACAAAAAATGCTTTTTTCCTTGCAACAACCCAATAACACAAGCATATAAAGGTTCTCAGGACTACAGTCTACCTCCAGAATTCACCCTGTGCTCACTCCTCCCAGAAAGCCACTGTTAACCATTTTAGGCAAATAGCGTATACTTTTCTCTAAGATCATAAAAACATAAATGAGCTTGTATGCATAGATATTAGTTTTAATCTTTTAAAATGTGATCATAATATACATATTATTTTGCAACCTGTTTTTTTCGTTTAACAGTAAATCATGAATATTTCCACAGAGATCAATGAATTCTTATTAATGATATCAAATATTCCATGATACGGGTGTACCAAAACCTATGTAACCATATTCCACTCGATAGACTTGGAGGTGGTTTCCAATCATGTTGTTATTTCTGAAGGATAGATTCCTAAAAGTGGGTTTGCTGGGTCAAAAAGTTTTTTTTTATTTTATTTTAACAGGTGCTCCTGCGCTTTGTTATATGTTTCTGTGTGACAAACTACCCTAAAACTTAGTGGCCTAAAACAACAATGCTTTGTGATTTCTCACAATTTTGAGGCCAGGAAATCAAGCAGGGTTCTGCTAGGTGGCTCCACGAGGCTCCAGTGGGGGTCAGTCACCTGACTTCCTCTGCTGGCAACCGTGCCACCCGGATGATCCAAGAAGCTTCACTCACGTGTCTGGTGCCTTGGTGCCCCTGCACAAGGCTCCTCTCTCCACGGGGGTGGCTTGGGATGCGTCTCGGGATAGTCACACCCCTTACATAAAAGCTGGCTTCATGTAAGGAAGAAATAGAATCTGTCAGTCCTTTTAAAGGCAAGGCCAGGAACAGGTGTGCTGTGTTCTCTGCCACGTTCCTGGTGAAAACAAGGCTCAAGGCCTGACAACATTTACAAGGAGGAGAGGAATCAAAGCTGGCAGGCTTGTAGACCATCTTCCACATCCCGCATTACTTTTCGTAAGTTTAAGAAATTCACATTCCCTTTGCAAATGTTAACCACTATATATAAAAATAGATAAAAAACAAATTTCTTCCAAATATCACAGGGAACTATATTCAATATCTTGTAATAATCTTTAATGAAAAAGAATATGAAAATGAATATATGTATGTATATGTGTGACTGGGACATGATGCTGTACCCCAGAAATTGACACATTGTAACTGACTGTACTTCAATTTAGAAAAATAAATACAAATAAAAATAAAGAAATTCACACTCCCAATAGCTTTGTTCAGAAAGTGCCTATTTCCACTACCACTGGATGTTTCTCTCTTAATTTTGCAGAATTTTTAGATGTCTCTTCCATGTCTGCTTTCTTTAGCCTTTGCCCCTTTTCTCTTCCGTTATCTTTTTATCAATTTGTAGGTGGTATTTGTAAAATACGGAAATTAAACCTTTGTCACGCTGTGGAACGGGTATTTCTGGCAGTCTCTCACCCGTGTTTTGATGTTTTATGGTATCGCTGGTCACACAGAAACTTGTACATTTGTTTGTGGTCGTGTCTGTCAGTCTTTTTCTTTGTCATCTAGGTTTCTCACTTTGCCAAGCAAATATTCCTTCACCCCAAAATTATCTAAATAATCTCCATGTTTGTGTTTTAATTATCTAGTGAATTTAATACATTTGAAACGTATATTTCTACACAAGTAACACAGGAAGACTAGGTTGGGGTTCTTTTGGAGGAAAACTAGTTGTGCCAGTGATTTGAAATGTGAACTTTATCGTATATTAAATTTACTATTTATATCTGTATCTATTTATAGATTTCTACTCCATTTACCTATTGGTTTCCTCTTAGTTAAGGGTAACACAGAGGGGACTTTTTCTTAAAAAAAAAAATCCAACCCCCAATCCAACTACTGTACTCAGGGAAGAGAGGGGCACTCTCACCACTGTGGAAGGCGGCTGTGGGTTGAGAACCGTGACCCCCATCTTCCTTCCTCTGTGCTGGGCACTAGAACGCCTACAGCTGTCCTTGCACCTGGCCCACCGCAGCTTTGGGAGCAGGTAAGTTGGTTCTTCAGTTTGGTCCACAGAGGAAGGTGAGTTAATGGATTATAATCAGGGGCCGCGTCTTCACCTGATTTAGAAGAGATTTTGGACTTTGAGCTGATGAGATTTAGATTTAGAGGAGGTTCTGGACTTCAAGCTCATGCTGTATTAGGATGAGACCCTTGGGAACGCTGGGAAGGGGTGACTGTATTTTACCTGTTAGGGGCTGGGCAGGGGTGGGGAGGAGCGGCAGAATTCTGACATGGCCTCAAGACTCCCAGGCCCTGATGAATGTGCCTGGTATAAATGCCTCTGCTTGAGTGTGGGCCGGTCTGTGAGTATGGAAAGATTTCACTTCCATGATAACCTTATTGGTCAACTGACTTTTCATTCATAAAAAATGAGATTAAGGTAGGTGGGCTTGAACTAATTACGTAGCCTCTTAAAAGAAGTCAGAGATTCAGGGAAAAGCAAGGGAAATCCTCCTACTGGCTTTGAAGCAGAAGCTATTCTGTTGTGAGAGGGCCACGTGGTTAGGACTTGAGAACCATCTCTAGTTGCTGAGTGGTCCCTGGTTAACAGCCATCAAGAAAGCAATGAAATGGGGACCTCAGTCCTGATCGTGTCACAGGATCCCAATTAAAGCCCTTTTATGTGCTATGTCATATGCACCTATCAAAAAGAATGAGTTAGATCTAGAATGTTGATCTTAATGCTTATGAGTGCTATGTGCCTCTAAGGTGTAAAAAAGTATATATATGCAAATCAGCTGTTCATTATTCTCTCGTGCTTTTACTGGAAGCCCTCAAAGTGGACATAGTCAAAAGCATTAGTGTGTGATACAAAGTTTGATACAATCTGGTGGGGAAGCAAAGGGGGAACCTGGTTTGGAAAAAAAAAATCAGGAAAAGAATTTTTTGTTGACAACTGGTAAAATTTAAATATGAACTAACCAAGTTAGCACTTCTGTACAGCCACATCTGTCAAGTAATACAACATTATCAGCACCACAGACAACCCACTAATACCTTCCTCAGTGGTTAACCCTACCTCCTCCCCAAAGGCAACCAGCAGTCTGACTTGTAGCAACACAGATTAGTTTGGTCTCTTTAAAGCTTTGTGTAGATGAAATCATACAGTATGTGTTCTTTTGTATCCAGTAGTCTGTTTGTGAGATTCATTTGTGTAATCGTGTGTAGCTGCAGTTTGTTCATTTCTGTCACTGTGTAGCATCCGTTGTATGAACATATCTCAACTTTCTTATCCATTCTACTGTTGGTGCATGTCTCGGTTGTTTCCAGCTTTTGGCGATTACAAGCAATGCTGCCGCAAATACATCTTATGGTACCCATGTGCGTATCTGTGATGGTTATACACCTACAGTGGAATCTCTGAGTATAGAGAAGGTGGATAAGGACCGACCATTTTTGCCCCCAAATTGATTGCATCAACTCACTCTTTCAGTACTAATGTTTCTTGTTCCATATCCTTGCCAACAACAGACACTGTCAGCCTTTTTCAGTTTAAACATTATGGTGGGTGCATACTGGCATCTAATTGTGATAAACGATTGTTGGCTTAAATATGTCAACTGAAAGAAAAGCATGGAATGTAAGAGCCGTGAGTTGAGTTTATTCAAGACCCTACTGAGGGCTATAGCCTGGGAGGCAGCCTCTCAGGCAGCTCTGAGGAACTGCTCCAAAGAGGTAGGGGGAGAAGCCAGTACATATGTGATTTTGGCTAGAGAGTGTGTGGAGTCAAGCATACATCTCAGTAAAAGGTTATTACTAGTCATGAGGATCAGGTATGTCAGGTAATGATTTTAGTGCTCTTCTATGTATGGGAAGATGCGAGGATATGGGTTCATTAATTTTTTCCCCTATCTCTAACTATCTAAGGTGTCTGTTTTTCCCAAAGCGCAGAGATGCCTTATCCCATTTTCCTCCTGAATTCCTTTCAGGATGTGCTGTTGGCCAGCGACTGCAGGGGTTAATGACTTGATCCCTGTAGAACTGGCCCGTGGGCAACATTCTTTGTTTTACAAGTAACACCTAGTTTGTATGCCCAGTGTGAGAACAAAGAATGTCGCAGCTGATCAGTCCATGAATCCATCTGCTGTTTGTAGACTCACTCTTAGGATCAGTGACTAGACTGACTGAAGCTTATAGACAAGCCCAGGTCTGAAGATTTAAAAGAAGGGAATAAAAAGTATTCCTTACTTTGCCACTGTATTACAGAGAGAGAGGTCCTCTGCTTGAAACTGAAGAAATCAGGGTGAGCTAGCACAGACCAGTGCAGTGATGAAAGGCACACAGACATGATTAAGGATGTTGCAATACCTGCAGTTACACATATGGGGAAAAAGTGGTGGCTGAATGCACCAGATAGCGTGAGTTCCCTTGGTGAAATTTTCCTTCTGTTAAAGCCTGGAGGAAGAGGTAGGGCTCAGGGATTACAGACCTAGAATGGCTATCATAAAACCACCACCACCAAAATAATACTAATATCTAACAATTATGTAGTGCTTTACATGTGTTAACTCACCTAACTCTCCCCCCAGATCACGGAAGTGTCCTTTCCCTATGCTGAAGATGAGCATACAGGGACAGAGAGGTTAATTCACTCGCCTAAGGCCACACAACTAGTATATGGTAAAGCCAGAATTTGAACCCAGGTAATCTGGCCTTAGAATCCATTTTCATGATTCTGTGTTATCACAAGAACAGGGTGTTGGGGGCAGAGGAACTCATGCAGAGAGAGTCTTGGAAAGGAAGAAAAGGCAGAGTAGGCAGGTACCTAGGCAGGTAGTCTCACTGGTATCATAACAGGTTCCAAAAAGAAAAAAAGCATTCTGACAAATGGAATACATTCTGCACTGTTGCTGAAGAGGAAAATCATAGAAGCCTGCAACACCTCCAGGTTCGGATGGGAGAGTCTTTGGCACACGTTAAGCACAATGGCTGGAGGGGGAAGCCCAGGTTAGCAGAGAGCCTCACACTAAGGATTGACCGTCTACCTAGGATTTTCCCTTGGTTTTCCCTTTTTCCCCCCACACCTGTGCCAGGTTTTTATAGTTGCTCTGCAGAGGGACAGATGACATGGTATCATGGTTAGTTTCTATTGGGTTTCCTGGTTGGGGAGAAAACAGTCATGGGTAGTAGTCAGTACTGACATTTCTAATATTCACACCAGTGGCTTGGGACCCTGTGTTTGCCGCAGGTTCAAAGGTATCCAGAGAGGACAATTTATGGGGCCCCAAACCTTCCTGTTTCCACCCTGGGGCCCTGTCACTCTCCACGACCGGGGCTGGTGAGGATGGGATCTGGAGACTGACGATGGGGAGGGAGGGACAAAGAAGGGACAACCTGGTGGATGCTTAGGCAGATTAAGCCATCTGTCCTTCCTTCTGGAGCTCCTGGACACCTTCTACTTTCTCACACTTTTTTTTCTTTCTTCTTCCCCTACCTTTCCCTTCTTTTCCCCCATGCTTACATTGCCCCATCCACAAAAATCAATGATCTTCCCTTGGAGAAGCGCTCACTCTGCTAAGTGGGGAGAGCAGAAAGGGAATCTCAGGCTGGCGGATGGCCAGATGACCTAGATAGTTCCTTCTAGACAGTCCCAGGATGAAGTCTCCAAGACAGAATGGGCCAATGACTTCCCTGTTGGTGAAGAAAAGGCACAAGAGTAACACCTACAGAGACATGTTTGGATTTGAGCACCTTCAGCCCAAGAAGGTGGCTCAGTGAAGATGCCTGCTAAGCAGAGCCCAGCCCTCAGTAGTACCCACTTCCCTGAAGCTCCTCCCAGCCTTTCCCTTTCTTTCTCCTAACCGCTTTCAGGTTGTTCTAGTTGTTCTGCCTGGAGACTGATGACACAGGTGGATTTTTTCCCCCAATCCTTGCAAATACTTATTATGTCTTGTCTTTTTGGTAACAGCCATTCTAACAGGCCTAAAGTGATATCTCATTGTGGTTTTGACTTGCATTTCCCTTATGACTAGTGATGTTGAGCATCTTTCCATCTACCTGCTGGCCATTTATATGTCTTCTTTGGAAAAATGTCTGTTCAGATCCTCTGTCCATTTTTAATTGGATTTCATTAGGTTTTTTTTTTTTGCTATTAAGTTGTATGAGTTCCTTATATATTTTGGATATTGACTCCTTATCAGATACATGGTTTTCAATATTTTTTCTCATTCTATAGGTTGCCTTTTCATTTTGTTGATTGTTTCATTTGTTGTGCAGAAGCTTATTTTTGCTTTGGCTCTTAGTATTATATCCAAAAATTTGTTGCCAAGACCAATGTCAAGGAATTTTTCCCTATGCTTTCTTTCAGGAGTTTTACAGTTTCAGTTGTTACATTTAAGTCTTTAATCCAGTTTGAATTAATTTCTGTGAGGGGTGAAAACAAGGTCCAGTTTCCTTCTTTTGCATGTGAACATTCCAACATTTATTGAAAAGATTATTCTTACCCATTGAGTATTCTTGGCTCCTTTATCAAATATTGCTTTGAGCACTTATGTGTCAGTCTGTTTCTGGGCTTTCGATTCTGGTGCATTGGTCTGTGTGTCTGTTTTTAATGCCAGTACCATACTGCTTTGATTATGATAGCTTTGTAGTATAGTTTAAATTCAGGAAGTGCAATGCCTCCAGCCTTATTCTTCTTTCTCAGAATTGCATTGTTGTTCAGGGTGGTTCCATAAGGATTTTAGGATTGTTTTTTCTATTTTGGTGGAAAATGACATTGGAATTTTGATAGGGATTGTATCAAATGTATAGATGGCTTTATTATTTTGAAATCTGACCCTTCTGTACCCAATTTGTTGGGAGTTTTCATCCTGAAAGGGTGTTGAGTTTTGTCAAATGATTTTTCTGCAACTTTTGAGACGATCATATGATTTTAATCTTTCATTCTATTGATGTGCTGCATCACATTTATTGATACATAAGAATGTATACTGAACCATCCTGTATCTCAGGGATTTGAAACTGGGAATTACTCTAGGACTCCCTCATCTAATCACTGAGTGTGAGGGCATCAGCTTTTTGTATATTTCAAATTCTTCCCTTCTTCTCATACCTGTTGTATGCTGAGCTGTTTGACATCCTCCATATTTTTACTCAGATGTTGCTTTCTTGGCTTTCTTGTTGAGGCCTTCTCCTGATCCCCCTTACTCTGCTCTTTTTCTTTTGTCCAAAGTGCACACCCTCTTCTAACATTTATTATATCTATTTTATTTAAAAGCTTTATTGAGATATAATTTACACATACAATTCACTCATTTAAAGTAGACAATTCGGTAGATCTTAACATACTCACAGAGTTGTGTAACCATTTGCCACAATCAATTCTAGAACATTTGTGTTACCCCCAAAAGAATTTCCTTACACTTTAGCAGTAACCCTCCCTAATTTCCCCCAACCCTGATTTCCCTAGGCAATCAGTCACCTACTTTCTGTCTCTATAGATTTGCCTATTTTAGAAAGTTGATATAAGCTGAATCATACAATATGTGGTCTTTTGTAACTGAGCATGTTGGTAAGGTTCCAAAGCAACTATACCACTTTACCTTCCCACCAGCAGTGTAACACAGTGCCTACCACATGGGGGTGCTCACAAATGTTCCCTGAATGCATGAATGACAAAATGCAGGACACAGTCCACATTCTTCAGCATGCCATCCAAGGGCTTTCCTGATCAGGCCCTTACCTGTCTTTCTAGCATCGCCTCTTGCTACTCCATGTCCTATGTTTCCTTATAAACCTGTGCGCCATCTCTCATCCTGCTCCTGCTGCCTGGGCTGTGCTCCCCTTCACTCTGTTCAGGCTGCTGAACTTCTGTTCACCTCTAATGCGACCTCTTCCATGACACCTTAGGCAAAAATAAGCACCTTCTCTTGTTGTCCTTTCCACATTAAAAAAATTTTTTTGTTTTTTATTTTGGGGGGGAGGTAATTACATTTATTTTATTTATTTTATTTATTTAAATGGAGGTACTAGGGATTTAATACAGGACCTCATGCATGCTAGGCACGCACTCTACCACTATACCCTCCGCCCTTCCACATTTTAAAAATAATTTCTCTTTTTTTTAAATTATTGTTATTTTTTATTGAAGTATAGTCTGTTACAATGTATCAATTTCTAGTGTTCAGCACAATGTCCTGGTCATGCATATTCATACATATATTTGTTTTCATATTCTTTTTCATTAAAGGTTATTACAAGATATTGTAAATAGTTCCTTGTGCTGTACAGAAGAAATAAGGCATTTTACCTTTTTTAAAAACATTTTTTACTGAGTTGTAGTCATTTTGGAATGTTGTGTCAAATTCTATTTGTATATCCCCCATTAGTTCTGTGAGCTCCTTAACTGTAGGCACTGGGTTCTACTTCTCTTTGTACTTGCAGCACTCACCCAGGACTTGGTTCATGGTTGGTACTTGATAAATATTTGTTTCAGTGAACAAGCAGAGGAAATAGCAAGAGCAAAGCTCCAAAAGTCGAAATGTGCTGGCAGGTGTGAGAAATGGCAAGTTTCCCAACTTGACTGCAAGCGGACATTTGTGAGTGGACTGCAGGTGGAGGGCCTAGAGTCACCTGGTCAGTTTGCCCTTTGTTTGGTGGACAGTGGGGACTGCTGGAGGGAATGGCCTGACTAAGACTGGGCCCGAGAAACATTAATCTAGCAGTGGTGTGCAGAATGAGTGGGAGGTGAGGGGACCATGTAGGAGGCTTTAGGCCAGGAGAGCAGAGTGAAGGTAAAAACCAAGGTAGAACATAAGGAAGGGCAGAGATGTGAGACAGAATATTAATGAATCTGCAGGGTTTGGAATGTGCCTGAATATGAAGGATGAGGAAGATGGAGATGCTAAAAACTAGTCAAAGGCTTTTGTCCCCAGGTACCAGCGGAATGGTCAGGTTGAATAAGCACAGTCTTAGCTTATACTTGCTTCTGTGTGTCTTTGTGAAGTTAGACACTTTCTAAACATCTATAGAAAAGGAAAAGATCTGTAAAAACACTTACTATGTATTATATTGTAGTTGCTACTTTCAAGAAAAAGAAAAATACAGGGAATCACAGAGGAAAAATGTGATAATGAGTGTGCATATGTCCATGTATGACTGAAAAATTGTGCTGAACACTGGAATTTGACACAACACTGTAAAATGATTATAAATCAATAAAAAATGTTTAAAGAAAAGAAAAAGAAAAAGAATGCAGGGCGTAAGAGTGACATATGGGGGGAGGGTATAGCTCAAGTGGTGGAACACATGCGCAGCACGCACGAGGTCGTGGATTCAATCCCCAGTGCTTCCATTAAAAATAAATAAATAAACCTAATTGCTCCCCCCCAAAAAGTAGTGACATTTAACTATAGTCCATCAATTGGGCAAAGTAGCCTTATGTGTTGAATATGTGTTACTAACACATATTCAGTGGTAATCATCCAATTTAGTTATATGCTGGACCAAAGCCCCGAAGTAGGTACTTTGTCCGTTGCAAAGATGAATCAGTCACAGAACTGCCCCAGGGGTACCAGCCCAGTTGGAGTGATGACTTACACGGGAGCGGTTTGAGTATATTGTTATGGGAGAGCAGATCTACTGCTGATAATTCAGAGAAGGCTTTATATGGAGGAACTGTGATTTGCTGAGCTTTGCAGGATCGGTAGTATGTGACGTGTGTAGATGAGCAAGAAGGGCATTACAGGCAAAGGAATAGTGAGAGCACAGATCTGGAGCACGAAAAGAGCAGCACACAGATAAATGGAGAGCAGCAATCTCCTCGGTGTGCATGGAACACAGGCTGTGTGAGTGGGAGCAGCGGGAGACAACGCTGAGGCCCAGTCATGGATTCAGATGACTTAGATTTTACTGAGTAGGTGAAATGATTTTCAGGTACAGACATCAACAGAACTGTGCTTCAGGAAAATTAATCACACAGCACCGTGTGGCTGAGAGGGGAAGGGACTGATGCTGTGGGGATAGCGAGAAGGCTGCTAGGATTGGCCAAGCAAGGGGCATCGAATGCTGAAGACCTGAACACTGGACGTGGCCACAGGAAAGAAGAGGAGCAGCAGGCGCTCCAGAGCTACTGCAGAGCGAGATTCTGCAGCCTCATCTCCTGAGGTAATGCACGGGGCAACGGGGAGGAAGTGTCAGAGCCTGAAAACTGAAAAAGCAATAGAGATAGAAATTGGGAGTACTGGAGGGCAAAGTTTTAGGAGAAAGTACAATACATTCTATCTTGGATATATTGAGTATCTGGCTGCAGATTACTTACGGAATTTAGAAACACAGGACAGAACCTCAGAAAATGGTCAGGTCAAGGGCTATAGATGTTTGCAATAGCCAAGGTATCATTGGATATATATCTGATTCATGTTCAGCTTTGGCTCAGTTTGGGGGCTCTGCCTGGCCTGGCACGCCCCTTCTGCAAGTCCAGTCTTCTTGCTGTGTGATGGTTTAACAGTAACACCCAGGGAGGCCGTGCGGTCCAAGCTCCTCCCCAGTGGGGGGTGGATTTTCATGTGTGACTGGCATCGGGAAACTGCCCATTTAGTCCATAGACAGGCAGGACAAGCTCTGTCTGTGACTACAGTGCAGCAAAGAACGCCAATCAGGCAGTACAGAGGTAGCTGGCTAGAGAACACAGAGCTCTTGGAATGGAGAGAGCTGAAAGCTGGGGGGAGGGGGAGAGAACAGGGATGCGGAGGTGGGGGAAGGAAAGAAGGGGAGGGAGGAGGCTGCATTAAATGCCTCTGTCCACTATTTTCTCCCCTTCACTGGCTCTTCCAATTTTATTCCCCTTATACCCTTAACAGCTCTGGACCCACTTACAACAAGCCATTCTCTGCGACGCCAGCCAGGTGTCCCACAATTCAACTCAGTCCTGTAAGGTTACCTGCCCCCCCCCCACCTGCAGGTGCCAGTTGCAAACACAGATTATCACTTGTGCTTCTGACAGACTGACTATAGGTTGGGGAATCCGACAACCCCATCCTTGGGTTCAATTCATTTGCTGGAGTGGCTCACAGAACTCACAGAAACATTTTACTTACCAGATTACTGGTTTATTATAAAAGGATATAGCTCAGGAACAGTCAGGTGAAAGACATGCTCAGGGCAAGGCCGGGGGAAAGGGCGCAGAGCTTCTGCGCTCCCTCTGAGCACACGGCTTTCCCTGAATCTCCGCATGCTCACCAGAAGCTCTCTGAATGCTATCCTTTTTGGTTTCTATGGAGCCTTCATTACATAGGCATAACTGATTTAAATAATTGGCCATGAGTGATTAAACTCAATCTCCATCCCCTCTCCCCTCCCTGAAGGTCTGGAGGCAGGACTGAAAGCTCCTACAGCCCAGTGTTCAGCATAGCGTGGGACTCTGCCAGGCAGTCTTTGCTTAAGGACCCCCATCAGCCTAGCTGAGAGTGTTTGGGGCCTGAGCTGCAGTTTAAGTTTCTTTCTCTTAAATCCCCCTGCCTTCTCTCTCTTCTTTCAGAGGTGTCAGGCCTGTATTGCCATCTATTTCTGCACTCTCCCCCTTTATTCTCTATAGATGTTGCCCCCAGTGAGGCCCTTGACTGTCTTGACGTCTGAACTGACACACAGGGATATGACAGGACCTGCCTTACAGGGCTGTTGTGAGAATTCACTGTTAATATATGTGAAATGCTCAGAACAGGGCAAGTGCTACACAAGTGTTAGCTGCCTTTACTGCCATTTGATTGTGCTTTAGATCCCAAGTTATATTTACTTCTCACTAGGAAACTTCTCAGACCTCCCTAGACTGGCTTGGAAGCCTCTCCTGAGTGCTCCAGCAACATCCTTCCCTTACCTCAGTTACAGTCAGCTGTCCATATCCACGGGTTCTGCACCTGCAGACTCAACCAACTGTGGATCAAAGATACTAGGAAAAAATTCCAGAAAAGCAAAACTTGAATTTGCTGCAGGCCAGCAACTACTTACATAGCATTTACATTGTATTTGCAGTTATCTACAGAGCGTTTACATTGCATTAGGTATTATAAGTAATCTAGAGGTGATTTAAAGTATATGGGAGGATGTGCATAAGTTAAATGCAACTGCTATGCCATTTTACACAAGGGACTTGAACATCCTCAGATTTTGGTATCTGCGAAGGGTCCTGGAACCAGTTCCCTGTGGATACCAACGGACGACTGTATACCGCATTGTTTTCTTGCCAGTCTTTACACTTAAGACTGTGAGTTCAGTGAAAATGGAACCTTGTTTTGTTCACTGTCACATATCAGTGCCTAACATTGTGTCTGGCTCATAGTAGTTGCTGAACTGACGTCTGCT